AGTCAAAAGGAAAATTTGACATCAAACAAGAACTGTGCCACGAAAGCTAATTTCAAATACGTGGAAGTGGTACGAAAAAAGGACGAGAGAGCCAAGCTAAACGGCTATAAATGCCGGGAATGTCAAGAGGTATCGTAAATACAGCTGTAGTTGAATATTATTTACATGTTAGTTGGTCTTTCCCCATTTCATCCTTCCCAAGCGCATTATTGCACCACTGGACTTGCCTCACCCTTCATTTCGCCAATGATTTTTATCTGTTCTTTTGCCGCAATAACAGTATCATTTCAGGTATAGATTTTCATTTTCGTTTGTGTGTTTCTAGACCCTTTTGATTGGGACCAGTTAGTGCAAATCCATCAGCAAAGAACGCCTTGATCCTTTAAGCCACACTAGTGACCTACATCCAATTTCTCCCAACAATAACATTACCTGATCAAACAGACAGGTCATGAGAATTACTGAAATGATCATTAAAGATGGAATGTTGTGATGTTAGAACAAATTCTCTCTAGCCGTACCATAAAGAATGTATGAAGAACAGTGTGGAGAAGATACATATTGATATCGGGGCTTAAAGGGTTCAGATCAGTAAAGTTGCTAAGTTTGAAAGTGATAAAATTTACAGACCTTTGTAGGGTGGGGACAGTTTCCGTTCGTGTAAAATTTCGCGACTTTGTGGACTGGCAACATCTTCGCTTTATTTTTACGTATCACCTTTAAACTTGGTAAGTTCCCTTATTTTAAAGCCTTTTTTCAGCAGTGTCGATGGGTATTATGTTCGCTTACTGCTCTTCATCAAAAGTTGAAAGAAACCGTCTATGGATCTACTACTTACATTAAGCTAAACATCATTTTTTTTCCTTTTCTTCTCAGTACTACCAAGGTCTTAATCTTCCTGAAGAGGAATTAAAGAAGCGTCTGAAACACTGTTCTCGTCACCGAGCCAGGTTTTCCCCGCCTCCTTCAACCCCTCCCGGATTTTGGAACTTGAGTTTCCCAGATACGCAAGAATACATGGACAAAGGTTATTTAAAAACTGCATCGGAAGTTCCTGCGCAGAAAAGGCTGCGAAGAACTCGACGAAACAGAGTACCAAAGTAATAACTGAGACATTTTGGCATGGAAGGTGTCCCAGGCCAAAGCGAAGGAGCCTTCGTCGTTTGAAAAAAAAATACATCACAATTATTAATCGTTAACATGGAACCCTGCTCTGAGGAACCCGGTAAACGGGTGTAAAAGTAGGCTGCGTAGCAGGCGCTTGGGAGTAGTGGGTACAAGAAAAAACGGGCGCGCGAGAAGGAGCCACGAGAAGGGAGAGAGAGCTCCCTCACCCCTCGCGTGTCTCCCTCGCGCGCGCCCGTTCTCTCTTTCGACCACTACTTCGCCGGCTAGGTGTAAAGCAAGGCAGGGGCAAGCTTTAGCTAGCACGTACTAGCCAGAGAGTCATTTTAACTTGCCCCAAAAGAAATTTTCTCGAGCGGGATAAATGACTAATTTATTATTATTTATTACTCAATTACATCATGAGTTAATTAATCACTTGCTTACAATTCATTCAAAATATAACTGTTATAATTTCCCTTCGTTAGATCAGCTTGAAAAACAGCTTTCACCTGAGCTTTCGATCCACATAATTTTGAATTTGTCTTGCAGTACTTCTATTAGCTGAATTCCCCCAATAATATCACTTGCCCGTCGGACAAGTTAAAAACAGAATTTATTACATGGCTGAACCCGCGAGCGGGCAAGATGAAGCAAATCCTGCGTTCTGATTGGCTACCCGAGCAGGGAAGATGGGTTCATCTTGCCCACTTAGGATTTCCCGTGTTGGTCCCGCAAGAAAAAGTTCCCTTTTTGGCTATGTAATAAATCCTTTATTGACCAAGCGGGAAGTCAAGGTGGCTGGATATTGGTCTCGGGTTTTTTTTTTGCGTTTTTATTGACCTCGACTTGGCCAATATCCAGCCATTGACCTTACTTTTGGTCAATAACGCATATTCACTAGCCCGATCGAAAAATCCACAAGTCCCGGGCTATCAATCGCGACTTTCTTTGTTAACTTTCGTTATAAATGTACTGTCTTTTAAATATGAATAAACCAGGAATTTTCTCAACTTTTTCACCGCCTGTAATTCCTTCTATCAACCCTTTTTACCTTTCTTTCACAGAACGGCGGAAGCGAAATCCCTACCCTTTAAAAGAAATCGTTGTAGCCTGCGCAGCTGGTGAAATTTGCGTGGGAGTGCTGTATTGTCTCTTTTTTCGCGGCCCCGCCCCGAAAAGAGTGGGTACAAGTCAATTTTCCCGCGCTGCTTCTCCCCTTGCGAAAATCCCGCGTGAGGGCTCCCACGAAAGTAACCCCCTCGCGTATCCCGCGGGCCACGCAGGCTAAAATCGTTGGCACGACAAATGTAGACCATTGTTCTCCAGCCTTCACATTTGAAAGGTCTCAATTCCAGTCCAAAAGAGATCCCCTGTTCAAGACTGGCTAGGAAGTGAAATTGCATTCCCGGCCCTGTTAAAGACTCAAGACCCTGAAAACCATACGCTGCCATTGGAGCAGTGGGTACCCGTTTAGGTCAAATAAAGGAGTGTTCCCTCCCCGCGGGACTATCCAGTTGCTACTTTTTTAGTCCTGTTTACAGGGAATGGTACAGAAATAGACTTGGGCAGCTTTTGACTCTTTGTAACCTGGGCCGATGAGGTTGAAGTGACCAAAAAATTTCTTTCTTTACGCGATGTTCATTCATCATCGTGAATGTATCAACAAGAAGAAGGAATAAGATGTCGCAGCATAATTTGAACGAAAAC